TGAACAGCTGACACAAAACCGGCTGCGGGGGGTGGGGGGGGGGGGGCTACACTGCACATATTTTTGGTGTAAAATATGGCATTTGTTTTCTATTCTTTCCATTCCAATTACCTGTCATTCAGAGCCCTTATGAGAGTTTGAACTAACAGGAAATCGTTAATTATGAAATCAAACAAATTGAGCATTTTTAGGCCCGTTTCTTGCAGGCATTTTAATACCCTTTCATCGCATTTCATAAAGACCACCACCATTGCCATTCGGTGACCATCTGTAGGTCACTCAAGTTCTGCTCAAAAAATAACCAGGACCTTTAATTCGGGCCCAATTTTAAGCACCAAAGAGGGCACACTGCCCTATTTTGCACAACAGTTATTCCACCCCTTTGTACACCCTGTTGTGCATCTACACTCACTTGAGCTCTGCTTGAAGCCGGTGGCAGAATGGACAATGACGTTCAGGAATCCATAGAGGCCGGAGGGTTCATCATCTATGGTCAGAAACATACAAAGGTGACAGTCAGGGCAGCTCCACAGAGGAAATGGAGTTCCCCAGAGCAAGGCCAGAATTCTGTTTTAAGGGAGGGAGAAGAAGATTGAAAAGTTAAGATCACCTCAGTTTGGTAACCTTTAGGCTGTAGTTTGAGAAACCCAAGCAGCATAAATTTAGTTCTAGGAATTTTAGGGTTCCAATAGTTCTAAACAAATCTGTCAAAATCCCTTCCCAAATCCAAGAGAGCAAAAGCTGTCCGGCTGGAGGCTGAGCAGCTGTCCAAAGGATCCTGACTGACCACAGCGAGACGCCCTCTCTGCAGAACGGGAGAAGGGCCCTCTCCCTCGTGCATCTCCTCAGGCCTCCATACCTCCTGGCCCCTATTCGTTGGGGGAGGAGGGCAGCGCACTCCCTCCAGGATAAGCAGGAGCCCCGCCGGACTTCATGCTCTGAAGCGCACGGCAGGTGGCTGTGCAGACCGAGACCGGGCACTGCTCAGCAGTGGGCAAAGCACGCAGGAAACAAGTGCAACGGCAGGGGTGCTGGACTGGTCCTTCTCACACACTCACCTTCTTTATTAATGGTGAGGGGAATGTGATGTACAGTCTGAAGCTTCACACAAGAATTTGTCAGCATCTGGAGTTCCACCGACGTCAGTGAAAAGCTTTTGAAGCCTGCAGTTCAGAGGAGAATGACGTGCTTGGGCCACAGAGACGCCTTTGCTCTTCTAGACTTGGAAGTGGGAATGGACTATCCTGTGCTTTGGGAATTACTGCCAGGAAGACCACCCCATGGGACCCCCTGGGAACAACAGCCCCCCCCCATCTGTGTGGACAATGCAAAGCCTCCCGTCTGGGGGCAAGGCGCCGTCTCTCACAACAAGCAGCCTGGCCCTCCCTAGAGGCAGCAGCACCAGCACCCATTTAGCAAAGACAGACCATCCGCAGGAGCCCAGCGCAGAGTGAGATGCAGCCGAGATGCCCGTCCCTGAGGCTTTGTGGAAGAAGCACTAGAAGACACTTCTGCGACCGGCAGGGACCACGTACGAGACCAGCCCCACGTCCACGTTCACCCTTGCCCAGCCCTTGCAAGGAGCTGCGCTGTGATGCGCCTCTATCAGCAGAAGGACCAGCCTTGGGACCCCCAAATGCCAAGTGCCCAACCACAACGGGATCCCGCCGGGGCACATACATTTCTTCTGCTGCTCCCGGATGATCTCTCGCCATTCTGCCCGTTCGTAGTCCGAGGAGATGAGAAAAGTGTAGCTCTAAGGGGGAGAGAGCACAGGGGATTGCAACCCATAAAAATCATGATTTCAGTGTTACGTGTTTTATCCAGCAATTCCATATGTCCAAAGTCTACTCTAGAAGTTTCCTCTCTCATAACTCAGCCAATGTATTTTTGCTGCTTCGAGTTTATTGAAAGAATTAAAATACAATGTACAAAGCATCCATTGCAAAATGGATAAACGTTTAAACATTTTCCTTATATAATCCACTATGTAAGACTACATGGCAAACAATCATAAAGGGTATGAAATAATAGCCACAGTGTATACAAAGCACCATCAGAAAGTGAGGTGTAAGAGGGCTCTGGGGGGCTGTTTCATATACTTCTTGGCAAATCCTCGCCGCACAGAAGCTTGGCAACTGGCTGGTCTGAATGATATTTCATATTCTGCCAGGTAATACAGACAACTAAATGGACTGTACAAAGAAAAAGGGCGTGTTGCAAGGCATGTGGGTCTCATGACCAGCAGTCATGAGGACTCAACCACCTGGGCAGCCAGACATACCACCTTCCTCTGAGGACAGCCAGGCTGAGGAGCCTGGTGCCGTGGCACACAGAAGCCCCTTGCCAGCTCTGTGACCCTGCCTCAGAGGATGTGGGTCTGAATGAGGCACAGCCCCCCATGCACACCAAGAGCTGAAGGCAGCAGAGGGAGAGGGGGAAGCTCAGCCAACCAGAGTGGCACCTCCTGACTGGGAAGGCCCATGAGGGGAGCTGAAGCCCTGCAGGACTTGAGGGTGGAGAGCTTCAGCCACCCTGGCTGGGCAGCCTGGAGACCAGAGGGAATTAAGGCTGAAGCCAGGTGGGAACAACATGGGTGCCAGTCTCTCCTGGGTGCCGAGAATCTCTGGTCTGCTGACCTGACCCCAAAACCTCAGGAGCAGATCTGACTACTGCCAGCACCTCTCCCTCCAAGTGCTGAGGGGGACTCTGGCTGGAAGTTGGGACCCCACTTCTGCTTGGCCCTCACACCCCTGACAAAGATGACCGCTGGACTGTGCTTTATAACCCAGCTGTAGCATGCAAACTGACTTATGTAAGGGGCTGTTAGAGTGCAAAACCCTCCTGAGGTGCCCAAGGTCTGGGGCAACTGATCATGGAAGGGACTCTCAGAAAAGTAGTTTCTGCTTCACACTTTTGGCAGAGAAAGGCAGCCTTTCAGGGGCCAGGATATTAAACAGGGTGAGGCAAAGAAAGTCACCGAGCCCCCTTGCAGAACCAGGAGGCGGCGATGGCATTTCAAAAGAGAACAGCTAGGGAAACCACATCCTTTGCCCCTGAGCCTGGAAGAGGGGTCTGTAACACTCGGCAAACCGTTTCTGCAACGACGCTTTACCTTGGGAAACATGCACCCACCCGCTGTCCCAGTCAAACTGGATGGTTCTGGGAGAAACACAGGATGTTCCACTCCTGGAACAGACAGTTTTGCACAGAGCGAGCTTAGGAATCCGGCAGACCACTCACTTTGCCATGGCGATTATGCACTCGGAAAGCCATATTAGGAGACATCAGGAGAAGCAGGGATTCCTGTTCAGACAGCTTCTTCTTCAACCTCTCCAAGTTCTTGCTGCCTTTATTAGCTCTCTGAGGATGAGAGAAGCCCACACAGGGATTACATTCTGTTCTCTTCTGTTCACAATTTGAGGGATGCAGGGAACGCAGCATCTAACTTCCTCACACGTCTGAATGGAGTCTGGGTTCCACAAAACCCATTAGACCCCAGTAAGCCTGAGTTCTCCTTCTGCTTCATCTGGAAACAGCAGCAATCAGGGCTCCAATGTCCACAGAAAAGGACTTCCAGTTTCTGGAGTCCAGAGAAAAGGAATAAGAGCTTCCCTACTGCTGCCTCCACGGTCAAGCCAGTAAGCACAAAGCAAACTACAGGACTTTGTCACCCTCCTGGGTACCAAAAGAGGGCCTGAGTTGAGGTTTTCCATGGCACCAAGTGTGCCCACCCTCCCTAGTCCAGGCATAGCAGAAAGCATACTAAAACCACATGGCTTTTGCGTGTAGGGCTCCAATTTGGCTAACTGTTCTCAGAATAAAACAACTGTACAGCTGCCTGGTTTGCTTTAACAGCGGTTAGCTAAGTCACTCTGGGCATTGTGACAAAGAAGCCACAGTCCCTAGGCAAATTAGTATTTCTTTATCTAAAGTTTGTTAGTCTGCCCAGTGATACAGAAATAATGGATGGTTTATCACCACCAAAACCACTCCAATTCCTCCTCCAGCTTTACTTTTTCACGTTGGATGTCACTCTTGAGTTGGGAAATCTTGATCTTCATGGCATCTAGCTCCTCGTCTGGCACAAGAGAGATGTTTGGCATTGTCTCTGAGTCATCCACCATCTGGAAACTGAGATCTGAGAGGGGTATGTACCATTTGCAGTCATACTGTTGGCTCTTCCTGCAAAGGTGAGAAGGCTGAAGGTTAGCTAGCCTTCCCTGGCCTCATCAATCCTGCGAGTCTTGCAAGAGGCTGTGAAGCTCACAGCAGGCACTTGGTCAGGTGGCTTTTTGGAACTGCTTGCATGGGGTTCTCCCTTGCACACCTTTCAAAGTGCTCACCTTTCCCCTTCACTACAGTATCTCGATATTCCCTCTATTTTTAAAACTTGCCTGAATGCCTGGCTTTGGGAATCTATAACATAAACTCACCCATCTAGAAAACAGATAAAAGTACGATAGAGAACTTGGGTTGCAAGGAAGCATCTCATGGACATTGGCTGGAATGTCTTTGGATGCCTCATAAAAATATTGCTTTCCAGCCATGCAACCTCTCTTTGCAATTTCTGCCTCATAAACATCACACAAATTTCAGAGCTGAAGGCTCCAAGAAGATTCCAAGGAAAAGCCCAGAAATGCAGAACACCCCCTCCTCAGTTAGAAAGAGAAATCCCCGGCACACGTTCAGAAACACTATTTTTGTATCCTGGCATCCAGCCCATCCCTAAGGAAGTTCTCTGCTTGCACCACCCAGCCACAGCTCTTCTCCCCTACAGAACTGCTTCCAGGTGGAGCTCACCCTCCAATCTGTTTCTTGAGTTTGGCGCAGAGGAACAGATCCGTGAAGAGAAAGACATGACGCAGCTTTCGAGATCCCTCCACCAGCTCCACCATGAAGCTGTCCTTCAGGAGTTGCCGGTGCTGTCAAAAAGAAAGAGTTAGGCCTCTTAGCTAGAAAAAAAGGTACAAACAGGCCAAACCCCATTGTGTTCTCAGCCACTCTAGGGTAGGAACGATGGCTGAGATAAAGCCATAAACAGACCAAGGAGAGCTGTTTAGACTTGAACTGTCACAGCAGACGTTAAACCAGGGAGTCTAAAGTTGAAAGGAAAAGGCAACCTGTCCCAAAAGCAGCCCATCAGAACCCAAACTTAGTTCATGATAGTTGAGGGACACAGCCTGCCTTTCTAATTCTTTATTTCTAAAATGGGGAAATCTCTACAATTTTGTTTCAAGTGTGGGACAAAGCAGCCTACTCAGAACGTTACAACCTGGTTGTGTAATGATGGAGCAAAGCTTGAAGTACCTCAAGGGTTCTACAGAGCAACCAATAGGAGCTCAAACCAAGTTTGACTACTTCCTTTTGTCCAACGCCCATAAATGGGTGGGCAGTTCTCCATCCTCAATGCTGCTGCCTATCATCCAATCCATAGAAGGAAAAAACAGGAGGATAGTTCTTAAGCACCAGACCTTATTTTGATTTTTAGGTTTTGTTGAAATCAACCGGCCAAAATTCAACACATAGAAATAATTCCCAAGCCAGTGATCACTTAAAAACAAGTTACTTATAGGGCTCAAGGATCTCAGAACACGTGAAACTGCCACCTTTATGCCCCCCAAGTTCTGGACAAAGCTCTAGAAATGTCGATATTTTATTCCAAGCTGAGAATACCTGGAACGGTTGCTTTGAACTTACGGTACTTTGTACATCATGGATAAACGGATAGCCAGGAAGATTACAGCTAACCCCACGACCTATCTTTCTCGCTCAGCCTTGTTAAACTGAGGAGGGTTCAAGTAGCTAAATACTCATTGCTGAGTCCAAAGGATCTTTCCTCACCGCCAAGCTGGAGCACTCGCCACCCTCCTCAAGGCAGATGAAATCTGCTGTCCCATTGCCTTCCTCTCCTGCCTCTCCTGCCTCTGTTGTCTGTTTCCAGTCACTGCAGTCCCTGACTTCCTTCCAAGGTGACAAAGTCTAAGAGATTTTACACACCCTGGGGGTACCATCAGGCTTTGTCAGAAGGGAGTGCTGGAACCGCCATGGGGAACTTCAGCCTCTCTCACTCTCCGGGAGCAGGCAAGATGAAGGCAACACCAGGGAGATGGAGCAGAAAGAAGAGGTTGCCAGGGCAGCTTTGTTCCATGGCTGGGTGCAAGTGAGGAAAGGCCCACCTGATTCCACCTTGATATTCCTTGTTTGCCCAACCTTTAGGCAGGGTGTGTCGAAGTCCTTCCTTGTGGCAGAAAGTCTAAAGTAAGAAGGACTGTCTTCAAGCTACTTATTGCTCACCTAGGACTTTTATTACTTTGAGATCCCTCAGTAAAATTAACTGCTCTGCTAAAGAAACCCTGGGAGATACAGTTCCATAATAAAACTGGAAAAGTTTAAAGAAAAATCCTTCCCCATTTTTACCCAAATTATTGGCTGCACGCCATGACCAATTGAGCCAAATTCAAAGTGATTTACTTTTTTTCAGTTGCTGAAAGCTGATCTGGCTTCAATCCAAACAAATTCAGGAAACAGCACCATGGCCTAACTTCTCCAAGCAGATGACAAGTCTGAGAATATACAAGGCAACTCATTATTTTGGGACATTTGCACTCCAACCTCTAGGTGAAAATCTCCAACGCAACATTAAGCCTAAAAGCAACATTAAGTCACATAAAGTCAGAAGCCAGGCAAGATTGGTGCTGGTTGGCATTTGAATGTGGGACCATCTAAAAGTCCAGGGCTGTAGGCTAAGCTAGGAAGTTGAAAAACATCTGGAAGCAAGCAGCGGCAAACCACTTCCATATCATGCCAAGAAAACTACATAGAAGCATCCACGTACATCACAGGGAGACAAGCTGATGAAGATTTTATTTCACCTTTTTATTTCCATAGTATCTGAATTAGAACCCACTTGAGGTCATGTGTTTCCAGGAGGAAGAACAAGTAACTTCTGGTTATCTCTTCACTCCCACAAGAGTTTTGTTCCTGCACAGAACAAACTCTGGATGTTTTTCTAACCAAGATGGTTAGAGGCTCTTACTGCTCATGGATTTGGCCTATCTATCTGTTCCCTCTAGGGAAAAGTGGTAGAGAGTGGTCAAACCTGAAATTCCCTCTGGGCATCTGAGAAGGAAAGGAAGGGAGGTGGGGTGAAAGCATAAGATGCCCACTTTGAAGAATTACAGCTATGGGGAAGCAACTTGTCCTTTCCCACTCTGGCAGCACATGCTAAAAGTTAGTAGCAAAATTACCTAGCCTAAATGTCTAGGACCACTGGCCAAATAAAGTATACACATCGAGTGTGAACTTCTAATGAAGCTGGAAGACTGGCATCACGTTGCCATCCTGCATTGCTCTGGAGGTTGGGACACTTCAGAGAAGGGGTCATTAGACCAGTCCGACACTCTCTTCAATGTAAGAATCCCAGGCCAATGGCTGACCAATCTTTGTTCAAAAATGTCCAGTGAAGAGAGCCTGTGCCTTCTCTATATAGTTGATTGCAACGTCAAAATGTTTGTACTCTGAGGAAAAAACAGCAGATGGAATCTGCTTCCCTATGGCTTAAGCCCATTATTCCTGCACTCTGAGGAATAATGCTCTCTGAGCTGTAGAGAGCAGGTCTTGGTCTTCTTTTCTATGACATCCTTTCAGGGAGCTCAATGGGCACCTTCTGTCACAGTTTCTTGGCCAACCTGCCAAGCGGAATTAATAGTTTGGACAACCCATCTGGCAAATCACGAAGTGAAATGAAATGGTGTACCCCGCTTGCATCTAAGGAGCAGGGGCTGGGAGAAGGGCAATGAAGGAATACTCTAAACACAGCAAGTGAAGGCGGTCCAGGTGTCGAGGGAGTGCACAATTTGTTCTAGGCTAGTAGCAAGTTAAGGAAAGAGCGACTTTCATGAAATCAGTTGTCCCAGGTGAACCTGGGGCATTTGGTAGAAAGCAGATACCTGGGCTTTGAATAACCTTAGCTTTATGAAAACTTACGTTGGTGCTTTACACAGCGACTCCTCTTTCAGCGAGTCAAAATTACTGCCAATAAGAAGGTACAGGAAACAGATGTGCTGTAAGAGCCACATGAAAAAGGTGACCCTCCAGGCAGGGTTCAGGGGAAGTATCAGTGGTTAAATATTTGTGAGCTCTTCAGGAAACATCCTGCGTTCAAGTGCAAGATGATGATGTCATGCACTGATTGGCAACAAACTGAAATAGCTACTAGATATTACCTAGAGAAATGACAGGATGACCACGGCTCATCCATCCATCCATCCATCTCATTTATATAGCCGCCCATCTCACACAAGATGACTCTGGGCAGCGTGAACAGGCCCGTGAACATTTAAGGGTGAACAGAAAATAAATTAGTGCAAAAAGCATGTCTTAAAGTGGCCATGCTCAGTTCTGACCAAGATAGAGAATGGCAACCATTCTGAAACATAGGGGCACTGCAGGAGGGTTTCTTGACCACTTGTAGACTGTCAGAACCTCTGATGTACAATTCGGCCCAAAAAACTATGTTGTCAAGTGAAGACTGGGATAGAGAATCTGGCCTTCGCCCTGAAGGAGGAAGCCCAGCCTGCTGGGCATATGAGAGGTCACAAACAGCAGGTAAAAACAACTACAGAACCTGCATTGTCTTGGCTGCCAATGGGATGACAAAGATGTATATCAGTGACTGATTATTGCAATGAGAGGATGGAGAGAAAGAGCTAATGATTTGTTCCATGGCATTCTCTAGAGGACTGGGCCCCTTGCCTGCCCTAAAGCAGAATCTATTGAGCTTTCATTGCAGACATAAAAAGGGTTTTGATGGCATTGCCTTACTGAGGAAGGAGCATCCATTTGTGGGAGGTCAAGCCAATACAATCTGAAAGGTTGCCAAGGTTGTTAGGAACAGCATGGACTACTCCTCCCAAAGAAGAGAACAAGATGCAGAAGAAGGCAAACCAGGTGAGTCCCCAGCTCATGACAGGTATGTTGTGACAGTCCGGGACAGGGAGGCAATGTGAACTGTGACCTTCAAGATGAGTGCTGCAGTTACCAATATAGGGAACATCTTAGGGAGGCCAAACTTCCTACAAATAGGGTGCAGGTTTGGGAAGAAAAAGATAGCACAACCCTCTCTTGTAAGATATGTGTCCTAACCTAGAGAAAAACACTCTGGCCTATTACGGAGACAAGATTTCCCCTAATGAATTAGAGCAACAGCATTCAGGGCAAATGAGACTTTGACTCAACAAGAATTGTGGAGCATGGCCTCAAGGAGACAACTGAACAAGACTTGAAAGCCACTCCAATCAATGCCGACTCTGAGCAGCATACCATCTTCATAAATTCAGATTAAAAGCAAATAATTAAGCATACCAATATAAATAACAATAGAAAAGTCAATAGAAAAAATGTAAAAAATGGAACGCTACTCTCATTGGACCAAAAATTAAAACACCCTTCCTCACCACGCAGAGCATTCTAGGATCTGATGGAACAGCCGTGTTTTAATGGACTCTCTCAAAGCCAGGAGGGAGGGGGATATTTGAATGTTCAGGGGAAAGCTATTCCAGATTAGGAGGGGGTCACAACTGAGAAGGCACCCTTTCTATGTCCCTGCAGATGGCAATTCCAGAGCGAGTCTGCAGCACTTATGGGGCACGGAGATGTTACTGGGAGAAGGGAGTCCCACAGGTATCCAGGCCTTGAACAGTTTTAAAGGTGACAACCAGCACCTTGATTTGCACCCTGAAACCCAGTGGAACCCTTAAAGTAGAGAGGTTCCATGGGCAAACCAAGGCACGCCCACAACTCCCTGAGTCACTGCATTCCGGACCAGGTAGAGCTTCTGAATGCTCTTTAAGGGCAGCTCCATTGCAATAATCCAATAATGAGATAGTTCAGCACAGAGGAAAACAAAAGATAATATCTCTGT